CTGGAAAGCAGCTGAATTTGGCATTTTATGTTTTCTTCTTGTATCCCCAGTCTGAGTTATGTTCCTTATGGGTATGAGTGATACTTTATGAATTTTAATTTTATTTTTCCCTGGAAACTGGAGACCTCAGATGTACCCCCTGTGGCCTCTTTTGTCTTGCATCTAACCCTTGGTAAGCTGGGAGCCCCATGGACTGGGAATGCTGATCAGGAATGCTTGTGGGTGACCTGCACTGTTCAGATCTCCACTGACCACTTTTCTGAATGTGTCTGGAACTGTTTGAGTGAAATGCAGCAAGACAGAGTCAGGAGAGAGCTTCTGTATGGGTAGAAATGGTTGAATGGAAAATTTTTTTTTTCCCAGTAATTGTTTTGACATGAGCAGTGATTAGCCAACAGCTGACAGCCCAGAACTGAAGTGAGGACAAGAGGATGGATTAGGGGCAAAATGCCCTTGCATTAGGCAGTTTCTGGCTGCTGTTAGCCTGTCAGGCTGGGAGCCTGGGGAATGCTGGGAGCAGAATATAGTGGTTTACCAATGGTGCTGTGAAGGGAGTAAGTAGGGGTCAGTAGGGCAGCCTCAGCTCTTCGGGAGCTGAGGAAACCTTGGTTTACAGAGACCCAACGAAATCAAGGGTACTGCCTGATTCCAAACTAAGGCCTACTCAGGTAAGAACTTACACATTTCGTTTTTGTAGCCAAACTGATCTGTGATTCTGTTTGTTGTTCTTTTTGGTAGATTTTAGGGTCATGATAAGGTTGGATTTGCTTAATAAACTGAGAAATTGACCACATATTTCTAACTAAACTCTGGTATTTGTGTCTAGATATTTCTTTGTTGAGAGTTTGAGCAAATCTGCCTGTAAAACCATCTGTGCCGAGTGCCTTTTGAAGGGAGGTCATTTTCAGAAGTTTTACTTATTTTGATGTTTCTAGCATCCTTTGAGAAACCATTTTGGGTAATTTGAATCTTATGGAAGGTTTTATATTTATTAGCATAGAATTATAAATCATATGTTCTTGCATTTAATAGAAATCTCTAGAATGTCCTTATGTTTTCTTCCTAATTCCAAATTCTGAGCATTTGTGTTCTCTCTCACTTCCAAATTAGGTGGCTGACCTGCCTTTTCTATTATGATCTGCCTCCCCCCACCATACACAAAGAGAACCAGCTTGAATTGCTGACATCATCTTGTTTCCTAACTCATTAATTTCTACTGCCATATTTATATCCCTTTCTCATGTTTTTTTAAGTTTATTTTATTGACTTTTAAATGTTTTTCTAAATTCTCAAGTTGGATGTTTACTCTATTTATTTTTATTCCCTGGACTTTGGTAATGAAATAATTAAGGCTATGGATGTTCTTCCAAGTATAATTCAGACTTTATTCCATTTGTTTTGATATGTTCTTCCTTATTATTTTCCAAATACTGTGTAATTACAGTTTTAAATTCCTCTTTGACCTAAGATTAAAAGGGCATTTTCTTAGATTTCCTANCCCCCACCATACACAAAGAGAACCAGCTTGAATTGCTGACATCATCTTGTTTCCTAACTCATTAATTTCTACTGCCATATTTATATCCCTTTCTCATGTTTTTTTAAGTTTATTTTATTGACTTTTAAATGTTTTTCTAAATTCTCAAGTTGGATGTTTACTCTATTTATTTTTATTCCCTGGACTTTGGTAATGAAATAATTAAGGCTATGGATGTTCTTCCAAGTATAATTCAGACTTTATTCCATTTGTTTTGATATGTTCTTCCTTATTATTTTCCAAATACTGTGTAATTACAGTTTTAAATTCCTCTTTGACCTAAGATTAAAAGGGCATTTTCTTAGATTTCCTAGTGTTTGTGAGCTGGAGGGATGGGGATGCTATATATTTGTTCTTTCATTATTAATGCCGACTTCTGTTGCTTCCTAGTCAGAGAATGTCGCCTGTGTTATTTATGTCTTTGCAATTTATTGACACTTTATTTGTGGCTTAAATGTGCCCACTTTTTGTTTGTTTGATGTTCTGTGACTTCTTGGCAAAAGATGTTATCTCTGAGTATGATGTTTAATAAGCCTTTTAAATTAAATTACTTAGATAGTCTACATCCTCACTTTTGGCCACTGATCAGTCATAGACTGAAAACAGTGTACTAAGATTTTCTACTGTTGCCTTCAGATTCTCTGGCATTTGTGTTTTATTCATTTCACTGCTATGCTACTTGATAAATCAAAGTTCTCAAACATCATGCCTTCATTTGGGTTGTATTCATCATTAGTCTAATGCCCTTCCTGGCATAGCTTATACCTGTATGAGTAGATTCTCCTCAGTCCTCTCAGCACTGTCTGATGCTATCAGAACCCTGCTCCCCATCCACCTTAAGCTGGAGGATGCATGGAGAGTACCAGAATTTGACCAGCTGCCTGAGGGGCATACTGTAGACCAGGACTGTGGCTGGCCAAGCAGGGTTAATGTGTTGTTTCTTGTTGCTTCCCTGAGCCACAGACTGGGGCCACCTCGGTGCCCAGTTTCCTGTTGTCTTCCAATGTGCCCACCCTTCTTTCAGAGTGTCAGGCCAGCCCAGCTGCCCACAGGCATCTGCTGAGTGTGGCTCTGCTCACAGGTGGCCCTGGATTTTTCCCTGCAAGAGGTAGAAAATGGGGGCATCCCCCAGCATGAAAATGGTTCCACGTTGGGTGGCCTTCCTCACGCCATTGCTTGCCTCCAGCCCTTGCCCCATAAATACATAGGTGCCAGTGACATACAGCCACCCTCCTTGCTTCCTGCCACACCACAGAGCTTTCTCAACAAGGTCTGTGTGTTGGACATCAGTTTATATGTCTCTAGTCTGACCTGCACAGTATATGTGTTATGGTTGTTCCTCTAAACCTGGCACCCGAGGAAGGCTTGCTTTCCTGGTCTTCAGAGATAGGCAGGTTCAGGGTTCAAGGTGACTAGATTCAGGAACAGAAGCAGTGACCTTCTCTCTCTCCATCCCTTCCCCCTTTTTTCATCAAGTACTTTATAACTTAGAGATTCTTTTGCAAGTATCTCTTGACTTTCATACCAACAGAGTAGGTTTGGAGACAGGGTAGAGTTATCCCCATTTCATAGAACCAGCAGCTGAGGCTCCCTGATGAGGAACTGCTCCCTGTGCTCACATACCTTTCCCTGAGAGCAGCATCACCTCTGGAACTGAGGTTGCACGGGCCCCAGTGTGTAATTGTGATGTCAGGAGCACGGAGGGGTGTTGGGTGCTTTAAGTCATCAGCATTGATGGAAACGTGTATGCCTCAGAAATTGGCAAGTGCTGCAGACCAGGGCTCTGCCTTCCCCCCTTGGAGAGCACGTTTGTCAGCACACCTTAGGAACAGTGGTGAGTGTCACAGAGGTAGAATTTTAGAGTTTTGATTTTTTTTTTAACTTAGGTAAAATGTGACTCAAGAGGGGTGTCATATGATCCCCTGGCTATTAACTGGCAAAGCCAAATTTCATGGAAACTACTAAATCCTGTCCTTGTTCCCTTATACCCACATTATACCTCCCTGAGGGCTGGGTGAGCGAAGTCCCCCAGCGGGAATTGCAGGAAGGTTGGGGAGGGGCCGCCTGCTCTGCAGAGAGAGTGCGACCCTTCACCAGTGACTACAACTGCTGCATTTTCTGATAGCAGTTGGACTATAATGACCTCACCTCCTCTTAATCATATTCCTCTTCCTCTCTGGTTCAGAAAGAAACTCGGTTCCCCCAAGAGTTCAGTAATTGGGTGCCAGGGATTAGAGAGATGCTTTCAACCTATGTCCAGCTCTGCCAACATGGGTAAGACCTCTCAGAACGAGGTGGGAGAAGGGGCTGTCATTGCAGGCAGCCAGAGGTGCCCGTCTGTGGCCAGCATAGTCTGAGCAGCGTTTTCTTTCCCTGCAGTGAATGGATACCACACGTCAGGGACCCCGGCACACCCTCCCGAGACAGCCCACATGAGTGTCCGAAAATCCACTGGCGATTCCCAGGTAAGGGGTCCTTTACGGGAGGTGGGGTAGCCCTTTATGCAGGTCCAGGGAGCTGCCTTAAGGTGGGCATGTCCAGGTGGCTGCTGCCCAGTTCTGCCCCAAGTGAAGAGTGGGTGGTGTACCTGGGTCGTTCAGTGCCCCATGACAGGGGGAGGGTGGGTAAGTATTGTTTATTGGTTTTCTCTCAAGGCTGAGGATGGTTTGAAGAGTGTGATGGTGAGGGGATTGTTACAGTTGTTGTGGGGTGGGCTCCATCCTGCGTCTGGATTCCTGATGCAGTCTAGACTTCCTGTCACTTTAAGAATAAGGATGGGACCAGGCCATTTCCCTTTCTACACACCCTCTCTGCACTCTTGGGCTTCACGCAGGATAGAATTTTACAAAATGTTTGATCACATTTAATAATCAAGCACAAGAGACAGCTGTGGGATGGAAGGACATGGGAGGATGTTCTCAGCTTCCCAGACTATTTGCTCATTCATCATCTCAGTTGACACTCGTGCAAGCGCAGGTGGTAGGGTCAGTACTGTGCCTGTGTTACAGATGGGCCAGAGTCTCAGACCAGTTAAGTGACTTATGCAGGTTGTCATGGTTACTAAGTAGTTGATGCCAAGCCCAGTGGGTTTTCCAGTTGCTTTAAACTGCATCTAAGAAACTGAGGACTGGCCCTATTTAGCCTGCACTAAATTATATAGGAAGATGCTCTTAAGCCTGAAAATACACCAGTCTCCTCCAGGAATTAAGTGCCAGGCCCCACAGGCCATGGTGATGACAACAGTGTTGATGCTGTTGTGGATGTCGGGAGAAGACCTGTGGTCTGTTACTATGGTTGCCTAAAATGTGACCTTGAGCTTTTAATACAGTCAAAGTATTCATTTTTGGAAACTAATTAAATTATCTTAGGAGGTTGCAGTTCAGTTCAGCTAAAAGGCTGGGAAAGAATTTGGACATGCATGTGGGCCAAGGCTTCTTACATTTTGGTGGGCTTCAGAATCACCTGGGCCTCCTGCTGGCATGCACCTTCTGATTCAGGAGGGCCAGGAAGGAGTCTGAGGTTCCGTGTTTCCAACCAGCACCCAGGGACTGCTGGTGGGGGCTGCCCGCCCCTTGGATGGCAAGGATCTAGGCTCAGCATGTGTGCGTGCCTCCCACCCTCTAGTCACGGCACACATCAGAGTGCTGGCATCATGAGCTTCCTACTGAGCCCCCAACTAGCCTTCTTGACCCAGCCTCAGGCAGTCTCTTTGAAATGAGGCTTATTTGCCAGCTGACAGCAGGGTTTTCTGAAGACATGAGCCTACATTCTGCTGTGGTTATAACGTGATTGAAAAAGCTGGTGCGACCCTGGGTATCATCAAGAATATTGGAAACAATCCCCCGCCACCAATCATTCTTCCTTCCCTGATGGAATATGTCTCCTCCAACCCTAAAATATTATAAAGGTGTTAGTCAACCATATTTTAAAACATGTATACTGATAGAACCTTCCTAGAAGCTGATTGGACAGGGTGTGCTATAAGCCTTTGAGCCGGGAATTTCCTTCCCAGCATCTGTTCTTGGAATACATTCAGGGATTCTGGTGAATGTGTGAGGCTGTCCACTCAAGCACCACTTACGGCGCTGCAGCATTGGACCCAACCTAATTGTCCAGCAGCAGGGCATGGGTAAGCTGGATGTTTGGCACTGAATGTCCATCCAACCAGTGATACCATGCAGCCATTAAAAAGCCTGGTTCTGAAGAAAATTTAATGATTTAGGAAAATGCTGAGAAAATGATATTGAGTGGGAAAAGCAGAACATATACAGTCTTACTGGGGAGGAGGAAATCTGTACTTCATGGAAACAAATGACTGGAAGAAAAATAAACCAGAACATTGATGGTGATACTGTTTACACCTAAGACTGTGATTCTCAATCAGGGGACATTGGCCTTCTTTGGAGACATGCTGGCAGTCGAGCTGGGGAGGGGTAACTGCTGGCATCTAGTGAGTAATGTCTGGGATATCATTAACCATTCCACCACGCACAGGGACAGCAACCATCAATAAAGATTTAATCCAGTTCAAAAATACGAACATAGCTGAAGTAGAGAAACCTTAGTCTAAGATAATTTTTATTTTCTTTATACTTTTGATTATATTTTCAAATTTCCTAAAATGGACCCATCTTGCTTTTATACAAAGCAGTATAATGAGCATTATTTTTAAAAGGAATTAGAAGTAAGATACTGGTACTGGGGATGCAGGGAAGACCAGTTCTGGAGACCCAAGTCTGGTGGGCAGGCATCACCTGCTTACGGGACAGGTGGAGTTGAGGGTGTCTGGTTGGCATGATAACGTTGAATGTTGAAGTGTCATCAGAGTAAGAAAAATAGAAAATGCAGCACCTGGAGAGAGCAAATATGCATTCGTTCAACAGTTCCCAGAGCCATAAGGTAGAATGTCATTCTTTTCAGCTGCGGAAGGATTTGGGGTGCTGTGGACCTGGCTGTCCACAGAGGTGCTGGAGGCCAGTGAAGAAGTAGGATACAGTGTGGTATTGACAGAGAGTGCTACCCACAAGTGATCTCCAAAGTGCATAAGGTGCTATTCAGCATGCGTAGCCTTTCCTCGCTGCTATCCCAGGCTGTCAATCATGATCAGTAACAATTACAACTGAATAGTACTTGAAGAATGAATGAATGAGTGAATGAACACAAGGCCAATTGAAGTGCAGGGTCAGGGTTGGGTCAAGAGGCTTGCTTAAGGTTTGCTCAAAGCCCTGTGCATTCTTTTCCTGTTGGCTGCCCTTCCTTGAGCAAGCTAATCAGGAAGATGAGAGTGTTGGGGTGGTGGAGGTGGGGAGGGCATACCTATTCTTCTTGGAAACCAGGAGTGTGTCCCCAGCGTGCCCTGTCCTGGGCAGGGTGATGGCTGGGCTGGGTGTTGAGCAGCCCCTGGGGTGCCTGCCCTCCCTTTCCCCAGCCCTGGGACACCTGTACGGCTGGGGGCACAGGCGGTGGTGATCTGGCGCCACCCAGTGGAAGTTTTCAAGTCTGTACCCTGGGGCGGGCTGCCTGGGTACTGGGTAAGTGGGGGTCACCTGATTGAGGGCACAGTGGGGATCAAGGCTGGTAGTCCTGCTGGCCTTTGCAGACGCATGTCCTAGCCTGTCCCCACCTGCTTGCTCGGGGCTGTGTTGGGAGCCTTTTGATCCCTACACAGGTGCAGGGAGGGCAAGGGACCTGCCCGCCATACCCAGGCCCTCTTGTGGCCCACCTTTCAGTTGCTCTGGCTTCCCATGAACTTCCCCAAGAAAGACAGGAAGGAGGAAAGAGAATGGGGCTAAGGGCTTGGAAATGTAAGAGACTCGTTGGAGAATGGAGTCTGAGGAAGAGGAAGAGGTGAAAGGCTGAGAGCTCATTTACTCAGTGCCCACCCCCCCATCCCCGTCCCACCCAATTCAGTCATACATGTCCTACTGACATCTAGTTCTTTGCCAGGCACTAAGTTACCGGCAGAAGAGCTCCTGCTTTGATGGATGTGTATATAGCTGGTGCTGGAGAAAGACATGAGCTAAACGATTATTGCATTTCAGCAGTGATAGGGCTAGAAGTGTGTGGCATGAGAACCTAGCTGGGTAATGGTGGGTGGGAATGGAAATGCTGGTGATGGCCTCCATAGGAAAAGATACTTAGGCTAAGACTGGAAAAATGAGCGAGGGTTTAGCTTGGTAAGGAGGTTGGGTGGGGCGAACAGTGTGCCAGGTAAGGGAACAGCACATGTGGACACCTGGAGGCCAGAAGGAGAGGAGAGCAGTGATTTCAAGGAACCCATAGAGGCCAAGTGGGGCTGTGATTTGCTAAATGAGCAGGTGTAGGGAGGACAGACGATGAGGCTGGAGGAGTTTGCCCAGGCCTGTTGTGAGGAGCTTGGGTTTTAATCTAACAGTACCTAGAGGCCATTGAGAGGTTTCACACTGGATCCCACCTGCTGAGGGGTGGCGGACCTAGACTGTTCACAGGGCAGTGAGGTGGTGGAGAAGACATGCAGGGTGGGGGCTGGCTGAACTGGCTGTGCATGACCCACCGCAGTCTGCCGAGCCCTGCCTTGTACGTCACCACTCTCAGGTGGTCCTCTCCTCTCAGTGACAGCGGAGTGGCCAGGCAAGGTCAGGAAACCAAATTGGGGAGGGTTGTAAAAAAAGGAAAGGCGAAAAATTTTATGGAATCATAGGCAAAAGAAATTTTTAAAAACCCCCACTTTTAATAGAAGGGATACTATAATGAAGTACCATGGACCAATAATCAACAATTACTTGGCAATTTTGTTGCATTTATATTCTCATTCCTTACCCCTGACAGTCTCCAAAACCCCCTGGGATTACTTTAAAGCAAATTCCTGACACGTTGTTTTAACTGTAAACAATTTCAGAATGTATCCCTGTAGGGGAAGACATAACCACAATACCATTAGTGCGTTTAAGAAAACATTATTTCAGTAATATCATCTAATATATGTAATCCATATTCAGACTCCCCAGTTGTCCTGAAAATGTCTTTTATGGCTTCTTTTCTCCCCAACCCAAGATCCATTCAAGTTTCATATATGGATGCATTAGTTGTCGAATCTCTTTAGTTTCTCTCCTTTGAAACATCTTTACTGAGATGTAACGGACACAGCGTACCACTTACCCATTTAAAATGTACAACACAGTGGCCACAAGGTGGGCAGCCATCACCACATTTTCCATCACCCCCAAAGAATCTCCATAAGCCTTGGGTAGCCCCTCATCTGCTGTCTGTCTCTGGATTTGCCTATTCTGGACATTCCATATCCATGGACGCATACAGTGTATGGTCTTTGGTGTCTGGCTTCTTTCGCTTGGAATGTTTCCAGGGCCATTATTATTGTGGCATCTATTAGCACTTCATTGCTTTTTTATGGCCAAATAATATTCCATCGTATAGACTTACCATTTCGTCTTATCACTTTAGTCTCCTTTGGTCTAGACTATATTCCCCACACATTTGTTCTTTTGCGTTTCCTTACAGTGGCTTTTGGTGGGTGTGGGGCAGGGGCAGATGGAGAGTCCAGGTCAGTTGTCTTAAACAATGACTGACAGTCCTGGTTTAATTGTTTTCTTATGCTTAGATTCAGCGCCAGCAGTTTGGGCAAGAGTACCAGTGGGGGATCTGTTGAGTACTTCTTACTGCAGCAGTCAGGAGACACACTCCCAGGTTGTCACCCTACACAGGATGCTGAGTTTGAGATCCCAGTTCATGTGACAGCCAAATTGCTCCTTTGTAGAGTCATACTTTCCCTTTTTAATTTGTCGGTTACCTGTGGGCTGATGGGGTGAGACCATGTGCATATGATGTTCCCTAGTAATCTATTTACTTGGCACTCTGAGCATCCTGGATTGTGACCTGAATCTGTTTTGACTTTGGCGGTTGCAAATGTAATTTTCTAATTCTTTCTACATTTGCATTGGCATTCTTCCTGAAAGAAATGCTGTCCTCTCCCTCTCCCTGCTTTTTGGAGTCAATCACTTGTAGTCATTCATATCCATGCTCAAATTGCCCTACATGGGGCTTGTTGGGGCCCCTGTGTGCTGGTTTTTGGTTCTTTGGTTATGTTACGTCATTCTTTGAACACTTTCTTACCTCTTTGCACAATAAAGTGTCCCAGGCCTATGTGGCATTTGGAATTAGCCATTTCTCCAAGGAGCCTGGGTTCTTTTTACATAGGGAATGGTATTTAGAAACCAATTTCTAGCTAGGAGGTGTTCTCACTGTGATTGAGGTGTCCTTCTTTCTGGGCTCTTTCAGTGGAGTGCTACTGTGTGTGTGTGTATGATGTGCACACATGTGTATGGTGCATGCATATGACATTCATTTATGTAAATGATGTTGGCATGGTAATCAACAACAAACACAGCCCAGCAAACTGGAGACTGCCTGGAAGAGCCTGTGATCTCCCTGCCTGGCACTGGCTGAAACTGCACAGCTAGTAGAGCAGAGATGGGGAAGGTGCTGACCCCACACTGAGCACATCACCCCCAGTGCCAGCCACTCCTTGTGCTCCTATCCTAGCCCAAGTTAGACGAAGGAGGGTGACCTCTGTGTCCAGCTTCATTCCACAGAGTCTTGGACACAGTGGTGCCCAAATGAATGATCATGGATGATGGAGCTCTTTTTTGACCCCTGCAGAGACATCTGGGGAGCAGGAGCATGTCCCAGGTCTCTGAGTGGAGAGGTGGCAGAAGATAAAAGCATTATTCAGGCTTGAGTTCTGATTTCCTCCATTTACCTGCCTTGTGACTATAGACCAAGTTGGTCATTTCTGCAAGCCTCAGTTTCACCATCTGTAACGTGAGCAGGGGTTGTGAGGATTGGAGATGATGTATGTCAAATGTCTAGCTGCATATCCGCCTTGTAAGCACCCTTGGGAAGGAGCTCTTGCAGAGCTTCCTCCTCTGGTGGTTATCCTCCTTGTCCTCAGCACCATCAGCAGCATCGATGTACAGACTCAAAGGCTGTTGCCAAGGCTGCCTGAGCACTGGTTGCCCTTCCTGGGGCTGGAGCACAGTGGCAACATGTGTCCATGACAGGTCACCCCCAAGCCCCCTGGGTGGCCATGGACGGTGGCCACCCTGAGCTCCCTGGGTGGACAGGGTGACCCCTGCAAACTGCAAAATCCACACCAAAGGCTCCCTTCCCCACATCCCTCCCTGGCATAGATTTGCTGGTCCAGTGTCTCTGAATGGATGAACCTTTGATAGAGCTCAGAGCCCTACACCTGTTTCTTCTCCCTGGAGAGTAGCTCTTGGGCTCCAGCCATGTGGCCTCTGTCTCTCCCCTCCCTAGTTTTGGCAAGTGCCCTGGGGTGGAACTGATAGCTTGGGAGAGTCCAGAGTGAGTGTGCCAGATGAGTTGATGCCATACAGACATCTCTGGAAGCTGTGGTTGGTCACAAGCTTGATGGGGCCCCAGAGCCTGCTGGGGCTGCTAAAGCAGCTGCAGTAAGTAGGGGAGCCTCAGTGAAATGACAGAATGTAGATCAGTCTGCCTCCAGGAGCAGTCCCCAGATTCTGTCAGAGGTACAGGCCTACCTCAGACTTGCTGGGTCAGAGGCTCTGGGACGTGTGGCTAGGGCTCAGTTTGGAGCATATTCCTCGGTTAATTCTGATGCACTCCAAAGCTTGAGCCTGTTGGTAACACAGGGAAACTGAGGCTCAAGGAGCTCACATTCCTTGGCAGGATGTCAGGGCTAATGAGTTCATTTTCTGGTCTGTGAATTAGATGGTCTTAGTAAAGTCCCTTTCAGCTAGACAGTCTGAGGCCATTGGCATTCGTTGGCTTTAGTTACAAGCTGGGAGTAAGGGAATGGGTCAGTCAGTAGGGATGCCATCAAGTGTCCTGCCCTGCCTGATTTGCAGGTGGGTTCCTGAGTCAGGGGCTGAACCCACCCCTGACGATCACCCTGCCAGGTGGCCCAGGGCTTTGCTGGCCAGGAGATGGGTGTCTGCGGGTTCCCTCTGTGGGAGAAGCCCTTCTGCTTTTTCTCTGGAGTCCTCACAGCCACCTCCTTACAGTTCACTAGAGAAAGAATAAGACTGTGAGTCCCAGGACATAATACAATGGCCACCCATGGGGTTTAGGGGTGACCTGCTTCCCAGCTCACACATCCTGCTCTGGGACCTTTCTGAATCCCAGTGTAATAGTGGGACAAGGAAGACCCAGAATTCACCCTCCCCTTTGGGACCTTAGGCTCTGATGGCCAGTGTGGCAGTTTCAGCTGGCAATCCCGAGTTTTCTGTACCAGAGCCATCCTGGGATGGGCAGGCAGCTGAGGACCTGTGGGCTCGGAGGTACTTGGCATGATGGTTCTCCGGCAACTGGAAGACATAAAGAGGCATTCCAGAGACTGAATGAAAGCTGAAACACAGCTCTGCTGCGAAATCCCTCATGGCTCTCAGGGTTGGGAGAGCGGCAAGCACAGAGGTGGCCCCCGTGCATTGCACGTATTCAGGGTTTGATGTGTGGGACACATATCAAAGATGTCATGTTTTGAATCCTCAGTGCCAGGAGGCGGTAGCCGGCACTCTGTCTTAACTCTCTGCTCCCTGGGGGACTCTGCAGGTGCCGGCAGGAGGCAGTGCGTGGAACCATTTACCAGCAGAGGGCAGCTGAGGGGTTAACTCCCCAAATCACAGACGGGGAGCAGAGGAGGCAGACCTGGTTGGAGCAGTTCCCTCAGAGCCTGTTCTGGAGGCTTTCTCTAGTTCATCTGCAGGCTGGGCACTGCTGCCTGCCTTCTCCCAGAATATGGTGACTTAGGAGTTAACAGCAGCTAGAACCGCCCGGACTTGCCCAGCACGAAGCTTTGAACCAATCCCCCCACCTTCAGGGCGCCCAAATGGAAAAAGAAACGTGCAATATGGAGAACAGCTTTGACGATGTTTCTTGCCTCTCTCCGCAGAACCTGGGATCCTCGTCACCAGGCAAAAAGCAGAGCAAGGAAAATACCATAACGGTAAGTGGCTCTCGTGGAATGCTCACAGGTTGGGTGGCAAACTGGGGCGTTTGGCCACGGCTGAGCTGTTGCCATGGCAATGCAGACTGCTGAGTGGTACCCAGCCCGGAATCCAGGAAGTTCCAGAGCTTGGATGTAACGGGAGTTTCCCCCTGCCTCCTACCCCAGTCTGTCTTCTGTTGATTTCACATTTCACTTTTTCTCTCCTGGTGGTGGAGAAGAAGTGTGGCTGGAAGGATGCAGAAGCCATTTTTGCAGGGCAGGCAGGGGTGGGTG